CAATGTTTTATTTTTAACAAAAAGGAGAACTATGAGGTGAGTGAAAATCACTCAGCCACATAGTTCTAGCTGACCTGTGACAATAACACTGTCACAGGTCGGCTCAATAGATGGGGAAGTGAGTGAACAAGTACTGTTGCTCGCTCACTTCTCGATTCTCGATCCTGTCCTTGCAGAGAGGCGTAACTGTCACTCATGGCTCCCTGCAGGGATTCCCCCCCCCCCCGACCTGTCCGATCCTCCAGCGCTGACTGGCGGAACGGACAGGGGAGGGGGCAGGTACAGCTGGCTCTGCCTCTAGATAGGCAGAGCCAGCTGTCACTCACGCAGCTGGGTGGCTCCAGACAGTAATGTCGGGCTCTGTCCTAGCTTCGGCGTCTCAGTATACCGCGAGCTGTAGCTCCCTATATACTGAGCCTAGGGTGACGGGAGGACGCTAGTTTGTGTCCTCCCGTTACCCTAAGGAGAACTATGGGGAAAAGCCTTAACCCCATAGTTCTCCTTTAACAAAATCCATACCGCGGGGGCTGGTCCAGCAGGGACATGAGATGATGTCACTCTATTGTTTTTAATGGCAATATTGCTTTAGTGTCCCAGGTGCTTCTCCCTGTGCAAACTTCTGTTCACAGGTAAGGTGGTCAGAGGCCTTCAAGTGCCGGAGAGACATCCAGAACCACCACCTGAAAACAATAATGAAAGGCATGTTAATTCTTAGGATATATACAAAGGGGTTTATTTGCTGGAGAACGCCTCCCTCCAGTGCTGCTCACCTGACTGAATGCCTGCTGCATTGGTCACATGATCTCTGTTAAAAGAGAGCTTATCTGAATCTTGATTGGCTCTTTCTGAAGTGACCACATGACCAAAATTCTTTCAGTGTAAGCTGCACTGGACATAGCCTCGGGAAGTATACTTGGCTGCATGTTAGCATTTTGATATAGATCTACCTATGGAATGATAGAACTTCAGCCCCATTCAGCCGGAGGACCCTAGAAATAGCACACCCTGCACCTATTAATGGTCGGGAGGTATACGGGTCATAGTTAAGAAGACAATAAATGAGGCAACTGACTATTTAATGCAGGGCTTATATCCTAGGCCAGCTCTGCGTTAGTAGACCACCTGCAAAGAGTTAATTGGGGGGCTGCCTGACTAAGCTGACCAGTCCATGATTTACGATGGCAGTCTGTGCCAGGTTACAATCCATAACATTGCTTTGTGACATCTGTTTTCCACCCTCTCATCCTGGCACTAACTGCTTCATAAAAAGCTTGTGAATTCCCATGCCATCAGCTAAAAACCCATCTCATTTTCATCCCCGCGCTCACTCACGACACCCATTGATGTATCTGTCACCCTGAGCCTTGGGCTGGGCCGTTTCGGGGAAGGAGCCTGCTGTGACGAGACTCTGGTCACCTCTGCAACAACTGCCAGCTGATCATTTTCCAACTGCAATAAACCTTTACTCCTAAATGAGGAAAAATTAGAAAAGTGACGGATGTTACCACAGCAAACACGGTCATTCTTCCTACCGGCACGGCAGTAAAGTGACACCCATGCTGACATATCCATGACGAATAGCATGGAACGTACACTTCCCACCAGGAGATGACCTGTCTATGAAATCCGGAGCTGAGGTGGAGAGCCCAGTAGCAGCCAAACAGCGCTGATAGTTCAGTCTGGCAAAATGACAGCGGGGACTGCGATGGGCTGGGGGGTCTATTAGCTATAGGTTAGCTTATGAGTTTATGTACATGAGGCTCATCTTTTAGGCCGGCTCCACACCCATGTGGTGTGAGTAACGTGCATTACCGCAACACACATCAATGTGCTGTATATGTTCATTGTGGCGCATTGCCAACCATACCCCAATGCACATATACAGTATAAGCAAAAAGACCTGCAGTACAGCTTACTAAAGGCATACTATATGCATTTCGCTGCAATACCCCAAAAGTAGTCCAGGTTCCTTTGCTTGTGTGTTGAGGCACGCATGCTTATCACAGTGCAGGTTATCACACACTATGGGATTGATTTAAATAACTTCCGCCCACCACTATTCCTATGCTCCTCTGCTCCATCTATTGGTGGGATCCAACTGCTAAATCCATACTATACTAAACATTATTAGTACTGAGTCTAATATGGGGGCACATTGTGTAGTCTCAGGTCACCCAGCTGTGAGGGCAAACTTCATAGTCAACATCTGAAGGTGTTCCAGACACGTTAGTGGAAGTGACAGACTGGAGGTATGAAAGAAAGGATTTTTTTGGCTCCTGTAGGGTGCAACATTGTCACACAAGGGGGAGGGTGGTGGTTACAGCTTTTTTGATGACTTCAGCAATATATAATTACAAATATTCTTCCGAAAGAAGATACCAAATCCATGGTGACCTAGAAATGGCCCAGATGTAGCACAGGTCCACATGTTGTGACCAGCCACTCCAGCTGTCTCATCACTTGGTGCCGAGGTCACCTCAGTATGCCGGCTGAGCTCCTGCCTGAAACTGTTCAGCCTTTCTCCTTTCACGCTCAATAAAAATAACTTATTCTTCTTATTAAATCACCAAAGAAAAAAACAAGGCCTACAGAAGACCCCCTTTTCTCAGAATATGAATTCCCGGACTACTACTACACGCAGGCCCCTGAGACGGACATCGCCATGTCCACCGCAACCGTCAGCATCAACGAAACCAACTATGAGGTAATGTACAGACTTACCCGCATATGCTGTGACTTGTCTAATATCAGGCTAATGATTCTATCAATGCTTTCCCCCCCGTAGGACATGACTGAAGAGTATATGACCGGAGGAGAGGAAGACAACCGAAAAGAAGATGACTATGAGATGAGGGAATATGGTGAGGAAGACTTTGAAGATGAAGAAAACAGATATGGTCCTCAGGAGCGTGGTTCAGTACAGACCCAAGAGACCAGACCTGAGGTAATGGGATACACTGTGTATTATAGGTCATTACCTAGAAACATTGACCTTGTTGCTTCAGGTTGTCCTCATGCTGGATAGGTCAATTTACAGAAGCCCTCGTGTACAAAGGTTCAGTGTACATTGGAGAATATAAAGTGGTCATACAGACGTCTTAATACGAGGAACAAGTTGTGTGCATATCATTGAAAATATTTTCCAGGCTCTCCAGAAACACGGCCTTTGCTCATCACATTCACCTCTATACCCAATACCTGACAAACGTTAGTGTGAACTGGGTACTGGAGATGGTTCAGTCTGGACTTTATTAGAAACACAGTTTCTAGATGTCACATTTCTCCCTCGGCAAACACTGGCCCAGCCTAAACACCCTAACCACCTCTAGAGGCCCCTTCAATCTAAATTATGGGGAGCTTTGAGGAGTCTCTCTACTCCCTGGCACTCCCACATCATTCTCAAGGCTCTTCACTAGCTTTGAAGACCAGACCAGAGCCTACTAGAGAACTCCCATTCCATAATCTAATCCTATCTTTCACAACCAAAGACGGGCCAAACTATGGACCTCCATTTATATGTACACTGAGTGGCCGGATTATTATATACACCGAGTGGCCGGATTATTATATACACTGAGTATTTTTATACCTGTTGGCAGTTCATTTAAAATAGAAGCAAGATTGGGCATGTCTTCTCCTAGCCTACAGTACCAAGGTCTTGGATCTAAGATGTCTTTCTCTAGAAGATAGTATCTACTTAATTTCTCCCAGAACATATACAAAGAGAGCCATGTCAAGGGTCCCTTTATGTTCCTATAGCAAGCTGTATCTCCAGAACTACTAAATGATTGCACAGGTACATTCCTAATTTAGGACCATTTATGCAACGTGCATACAGCTCTTATGGAGTAGGGCTTGACAGGCATTGAGAAGGTATAGCCCAGCAGGTTATGGAGAGGTGGACATTTGTGATAGACTTGAGACATGCAGATTATGGATGGTCCGAGTGTTCGATTCGAACATCGGCAGTTCGAGCGCTCGCCTAACTTTATGGGATGTTTGCGGTTTGTTCGACCGCGGACATTCCATAATGCAAAATGCCCACTGAAGCTCTGATTTGTTAAAGCCTTGCACCTGACCTCAGGTCACGTGCAAGACTTTGCCCAATCAGGGCTCAGCAGAGGAGGGGTCTGAAGGAGAAAGTTCTCTATCAGGTCCCCCCATGCTGATTGACACCAGGCAGTGGGCGGGTGCAATAGCCAGCTTGCTATTGGCTATTGCATTTTACAATATCCAATAGCAGGCTGGGTATGGCTCCCAGCCTGCAATGAAGAGGAGGCAGGGGGGGGAGGAGCCGCGGCCGGACCGGATCGTAGACGAAGCGGACGGACCAGGGGGCCGGAGGCCAGGACAGCAGCGGAGGTAAGGGGGGCAGCGAAGGCATGCAGCGGTCTGTGTCCCCGCTGTCTCCGCCAACACAGGCGCGGGGATTTGAAGGGGCACAGGCCGCTGCAGCCACAGTTTTCCTACATGTACCAGCAGCTGTATTGGGGTCGAACATTCGAACCCCCATACACTTGCATTGGGTTCGAGTTCGTATTCGAACATTTCCATTAGAATACGAGCCGAACACGGGGGTGTTTGGCCCATCCCTAATGCAGATACCTTCTGTTTCATGAAGGTTCTGCTGTGCTCCAAGCTGGTTGAGTGAAGGCCCTTTTGGTTTCTTTCATTCCACATCACCATAACCTGTTAAGTTACAACTTCTCATAACTCTCATCAGTGAAAGATATGGAAGGCCTGACTTCTGTGGAATAGAAAAAAACTATTTCGTGAGCAGATCCTGAGTAACTGGTGCTACACCCCTATTTAGTCAATCAAGGCATAAGAGTCAGTGGGGCTTTATTGGCACCAAATGACAGATCCAATGAACCACAAAGTGTAGAGGCCCTAACAAAGTGGTTCATTGGATCTGTCATTTGGTGCCAATAAAGCCCCACTGACTCTTATGCCTTGAATGACTTCTGTGGAGTAGAGCTTTGAGAACAACAAGACTGAACATGTTCTGGTGAGCTTGTTCAAAGCAACTAAACCTCCTCTGATATACTTGCATGACACATCAGGAAACAAGGATCAATTCCTTTTATGATGCCTAAACCTTACAGAGGAGCAGTGGGTTCAGGTATGCAGACTATTCCTCAGTGGCGGAACTTCCCATAAACTGGCCGATACAGGAATTGCATATTACCACTGTGAGGATTTCGCTTCCAATGGTAGCGCATTGAGGACTCTTCCACTCGCTTATGACCTCATTTTGAGGGCTTCCTTGCCCACTTTTATTGAATCCAACTCAAACGTCCACACAGGTTTTCCCTCGCAGGTGTTTTCAAACATAACGTACGGCTTTTCTTCAGCAAAAATTACACTTTTCAGTCTCACCGACTTAAGGAAGGTCTTTTAACACAACGTCTGGCCACACAGGCGGTTTGCCACACAGGCTGCTCGTTTGCCACACAGGCGGTTTGCCACTCAGGTGGTTTGCCCCACAGGTGGTTTGCCACTCAGGCGGTTTTCCACTCAGGCGGTTTGCCACACAGGCGGTTTGCCACTCAGGCGGTTTTCCACTCAGGCGGTTTGCCACACAGGCGGTTTGCCACTCAGGCGGTTTGCCACACAGGTGGTTTGCCACTCAGGCGGTTTGCCACACAGGCGGTTTGCCACTCAGGCGGTTTGCCCCACAGGCGGTTTGCCACTCAGGCGGTTTTCCACTCAGGCGGTTTGCCACACAGGCGGTTTGCCACTCAGGCGGTTTGCCACACAGGTGGTTTGCCACTCAGGCGGTTTGCCACACAGGCGGTTTGCCACTCAGGCGGTTTGCCACTCAGGCGGTTTGCCCCACAGGTGGTTTGCCACACAGGCGGTTTGCCACTCAGGCGGTTTGCCCCACAGGTGGTTTGCCACTCAGGCGGTTTTCCACTCAGGCGGTTTGCCACACAGGTTGTCTGCTCCCCAGTCCACCAGACACCCAGTCTGGTTCTAGGGTGGGGCTCTTCTCTTAGGAGGCTGGGACTTCTTGTAGAGGCCCTAAGAAGCCAGCTAGCTTCAGCTCCGAGCCTTCAGCCCTCTCAGCACTCCCTCCTAGAGGAATAACCTCATTATTACACCTGAACACAGACATCCCCACCTGCCTGCTGCCACACCACCCATCATTCAAATGTAATCTGTAAAAAGCAAAATATAAAGTATTACCCCTTAGAAATATCTGCATGCTGGTTATAGTGGATGCATGAGGGTGTTTGCTGCCTTTATAGTCTAATTTTGTGTTTTTATTGTTTGTGCTTAGAGCTTGATAGGAGAGAAAGGAGAACCTGCCATGTTGGAGCCTGTGAGTATCTGCCAATGTCACCACGACTTTTTACATTTCTGATAGTATGATCAGAAAATGATTTTGTGCTTGTTACAGGGCACCGCGATTGAGGGTCCAATAGGATTCCCTGGGCACCCGGTACGTATAACGGATTGTGGCACTATCATCCAAAATATTACAATTTCCTTGGTGTATTAAGAGGAGGGCACTCCAAGCATTCAGTCCATGTCTTCCCAAACCCCCAGCAGTGATGTAACAAGCCACGCACAGGCCTTTGGGGCCCATTTACACCTTGCTGTCTTCTCTCAGTGAACTTTCTGGAGCCATATATGGAGAACCCTTACCCAACGAAGGTGCTTCCAGAACACAACCAGTGTGTAGGAGGGCTTTAGGCTTTGGGGGTTGGACTTAAAGCCAAAGTTGAAGTTGTCACATGGTGGCAGAGTGCACCCAAATGTGGAACCTTGAGGCTAATGAGGGCAGTTTCGGTGCCTTTTCTTAGGAAAGTACATTTATTTAAATCGTATGAATGGGCTGAATTTTTGCTTCATATAGTATAATGTTGTACTGTTGCTGGCATTTGTTGTATTCCTATATAGCTGCTGGTATTCTGCATTTCGCCATATAATCATTATACAGCTCAATGCAGAATGCCTCCAGCTATAGAGGACTACAAATCCCAGCAATAATACATTATATACAGTGCCATGCAGAATAACCCCAGCTACAGAGGACTACAAATCCCAACAATAGTACATTATAGTATAATGTACTATTGCTACATTCCTCTATAGCTGCTGGTATTCTGCACTGCGCCGCTGTATAATGTATTATATTGCACACCACACTCTTTTTTTTTACTTCCACCGCGCCAAGCTTGCTCCCGTGATGGACAACAATCTCAATAGAAACTTGTAGTCCATCACTGAACCCTTTTTTTTTTTTAAATCCGATTAGTCGATTAATCGAACTCAATAATCGGCTAACTAATCGATTATGAAAATAATCGTTAGCTGCAGCCCTATAACTATGCACACGCACATGCGCAGGTGCCCGTGCAGAATTCCGAGTGCAAGGGCCAAGCCTGGCTTCCTGACAGGTCCATACAGCTCGCCATATTGGTGCTCGGGCAGACGAATGTCGTAGAACCCAACTGAAACTAGAATATTGGCCTATCTGGGATACATAGTGATACACGATCAATAATGTTTTATGTCCTGCGTGCTTAATACTGCCATTCTACTTTGTAAACCCGTTACATTTTATGTGCCCTACCTAGGGAGAACCAGGACCGCCTGGACCTTCAGGACCTCCTGGACCGATTGGGGATCCAGGTGAAAGGGTAAGAAGCCACCTCAATCCACATTTACCTGCATTTCACCTAATAATTGTGGTAAAAAGATATGTGACGTCTATGTAATACGACATAGAGAAATCCTGAGATCAGTGGTTGCCAACCCACATTTGTCCTCGGTCATGAAGTCGCGACCCAAGTTGCACTGCAATGGACCGCACAGCAGTGTGGGCAGCTGTGCTGTGATGGAGCTCCATCCATATGTGCATTGCTTGTGCAGCTCACATGCGCACCTGTAGAGGTGTCGCGAGCCAGAATGTGATGTCACGCCAGTCCAGGCACCTCTACAGGATATGCCAGGGAGCTATAAGCAATGTACATATGGAAGGAGCTCCTTCGCGGCCATACCCCCAGCCCACCCCACCTCATGTCAACACTCGGCGCCGGGCAACATATTTTGAATGGCCGCTCGGTGTAAGAATGGACAGTGCTGCGCTAGAGGGGGCTAGGGGGAGGCTGAGGAGCCTCTCACCTAGAAAAGTGGAAGGCACGCGGCGACCCACTGAACACGGGGTCACGACCCACCAGTTGAGAACCAAGGCCTTAGATCATTCTAGATCAACACAGAGATGATTGATCCCGAGGAACTCATTTCCAAAAGGAGCTTCCTTCATTAGTTTTCCTTAGGTGCTCAAATTATATGAGACGCTCATTTTGATGGGTTTTATCTAGAGCCGTATCAGACCGGTAACCGCGCTCCATCGTGTGAGATCCGGCACCCTGGTACAAATGCAACGAATGCTGGCTGACTAGGTGGTCCTGCATCTTGGGCTCAGTTGCCATAGAAAAGAAAGTAGCTGCCAATAGGATTTATTGGTCAATCTGATGCAAGGCAGACCATCCAAACTCTGCCCTACTGACGCGTTTCACTCGCAGCTTATTCATAGAGTGGGAATTGCCAGGTGGGGGGGTTCCTTTATACACAGATCAATCTAAACATTCAATACTAATTGATAGGGAAGCACCGATACCAGTTTTTCGGTATCGAGTATGTGTCCCAATATTTATATTACGGTGCTCGCCGATACCAAGTACTGACACCGGTACTTCCGCTAGCATGCAGCCAGCTTCCTGGGCAATCAGGAAGCTGGGCGGCGTGTCATCACTTGGCGCCCGGCTTCTTGATTGCCCGGGAAGCTGGCTCCATGCTTTTTGGCCAGCTCCATGCTGATTGACAGGGAACTCTCAGCCAGGCTGTTTGGCCAGCTCGATGTTGATTAGCCAGGAAGCCAGCTTCCCAGCCAATCAGCATGGAGGCAGCTTCCCTGGCCAATCAGAAAGCCGGGAGGCGGACCATTACTAGTATTGGTATTGGTGCATCCTTACTAATTGATATCATTATGAACAACAGGCTGGTTAGCAGTTTATCATTTATGCAATGCATACGGAGTGTATCAAATTAGTCTCCGAAGGGCTAATTTGTAAACCGTTCACGCAGCTTTTTGCTGTGCGAATGTGATTCGTCGTGCCGTATGACCACTAGATGGAGCTGAGGAGCAAAGGAATTTCCAATGCCCTTCAGCTCCATCTAGTGGCCATACAGCACTGCGAATCAGCCCTTAAAGGAGAACTATGAGGTCAGTGTTTTTCCCCATAGTTCTCCTTAGGGCAACGGGAGGACACAAACTAGCGTCCTCCCATCACCCTAAGCTCAGTATATAGGGAGCTACAGCTCGCGGTATACTGAGACGCCGCAGCCGGAGCGGATCCCGACATCGATGTCGAGATCTATGTGGCAGTGTAGGGGAAAGAGGGGCAGTGTAGAAGGGGGGGCAGTGCCGGGGAAGGAGGGGCAGTGTGGAAGGGGGGGCAGTGTCAGCTCACTCCATATACCCTGGGAGGGGGCAGGAGGAGACCTCCCTCTGCCTGCCCTCTAATACCGCTCTAATCATGCTTTTTTATTGGGGGGACCTTCCTGGTTTCATGCACCGGGGTCCTGAGGTTTCTAGTTAGACCTCTGCTTCATACCTCTGTACAGACCTGGGACTGGGGGTAGACAATGCAGGAGCCTGAGTACTGCACCCTTGGTACACTGATCGTGGCCGCAATGCTCTGCAGGCTTCAACGCAAAAAAAGTAATAAATGCACATTCTTTATTTCATCATAGTTGGTGCATTTGTTACATTGTTTTCATAAGGTGGACTGTGCCTTTAATCATGAGCTTTGAGAAATAGCTCCACAGCCGTTCCATATTGTGAGCTCTCGGAGCGCCCCCTGGTGGCTGAAGATTGATCGCAGCGAACGCCGATTTGGCAGAAAGAACTCGGAACAATAAAACATTTCGCTGACACTTGGATCTGATTGTTCGCGAGTCCCTCCAGAGACGAGGAAGTCGCATGGAAAGAATTAGAAGAACATTGTCACAATCCGCGTTGTAATGTTATCTGTGAAGGAAGCAGATCTTCCCACAGCGCGTTCATTGCGCGACTTTGTTACAACGTTACGCAAAATATACATTGTATCAGAGGAAGAACCTCGGCCCGCCGGCTGTGGTGAAAATACAAATCTTATCATGGCAGCCAGTGAAATAGTATTTTATAAGGAGATGTCGGCCCTTCGAAACATTGACACAAATTGATGAGATTACAAAATCTAAAGCTGAACTTTTTGTAAAAAATAGACTTACACAGCCCCCCTTCCCTGGCACTGCCCCCCTTCCCTGGCACTGCCCCCCCCTTCTACACTGCCCCCCCTTCCCCGGCACTGCCCCCCTTCTACACTGCCCCCCCCCCTTTACCAGCAGTGCAAGGGTTAACTACTAGGGGTAGAGGAATAGGCTCTAATACCTTCAGGGGTGCAATTACACATCATGGACCCCCACCCCGACAACCTCTCATTGTTGCTCTTGGCAGTGTCAACTGGGCCCTAGCCATCCTCACGTACATTGCAGGTCCTACATGGTATGTGATGAGGCATTGCAAGACTGGCAGCCACAGGCATGACGCCCAGAGGAAGATGTGTGATGGGACAACACAGGTGGAGCGCCGATGTTGCTTACCCCTGAGCAAGTAACATAAGGGATGCAATGAATCTTTGTCCCTTCTCCCCTTTTTATGCCCTTTGATTCTCACATGCTCTGACATTACAGAAATAAGGGCACCCGCCATTGCTCATATATGTCCGACTGCTTCATCACATTTCTGGGCGTTTACCAATTGGTTTAATGATGACAACGCGTGATTGTGTCAACTCTCATTATTTCCTTCAATCAAGCTGATTCATGAAGGACAGTCTATGCGTAAACATGAATGGTCACATTACCGGTGCGTGTTCATAGCTACAGAGCAGGGAAGAGAAGACTGGCCGGATGGGCCCCATGTTGGTCTCATTTTTGGAAAAGTAATAAAGATCAGTGGAATGTATCCAACATGGATGGTCATCTGTTTCCTCCAATATAAGCAGATCTTGGAGACCTCCAGTCAGTGGGCAGAGTGACCTGGTCATGTATCATTGTACATGTCTGAGGGTCGACATAGCTATTATGTTCATGGGGATTTTCCTGCCAGGTGAGGTCAAGCATGGAAGGTAAGTCCTCTAAACCACCTTCCTCACGTTCCTCCGGCCACAGGATCTCCACACTAGAGTTCCTGACACTTCATCCTCAAATCATGGAGGAAAAATCAGGACTGTGCTGTGTGGCAGAGCTGGGCAAATCTCAGGACTAAGCCCTGCTTCTTCCCACCTCAGCAACCCCAAGTTGAAGAAGTTGGTAGGAGGCCAAGATTAGCGCCTATGTGTAACAACCAGACCCCACAGGTCTTATTTTAGGTGGAGGATCACAGCTGCAGAAGTATGAGGAGGGGGTGCAATCCTACACCACAGTGAATTTACAGTCTTATGGTAATGAGTTAGGCAACAATTACTTAGCATGAAAAATAGATGAGGTTTTATTGTAGGGAGTAGTCCTTTTAGATTAGTGGGGTGAAGGATGACAACAATCAATGGGAGCAATCAAGTTATCCCTATGCACAGTTCTATCAATATGCAAGCATTTGGAAATCAGTCTGTGGTATGCTTACTGAGAGGGCGGTAGATCGACAATAAAGTCCAGTGAAATTGCTTCCCAGGGTCTTCCAGGTATGGGTAAGCTGGTAAGGAGGCCGAACGGAGGCCTGGACCCATGTTTTGATCTTGCACATACATCACATGTGGATACATATTGGTGAACGGTTTTTCCCATATCTGGCCACCAGAAGTGGCGGCTAAGTAGGTCTAGGGTTCTGTTGATACCCGGATGTCCTGCTAGGGGCGCATCATGGGTGAGTTTCAGGATTTCACATCTGAGAGTAGGAGGGATGTAGAGCTTGTCTCCTTTGTAACAGAAGCCTTCACCATCCACCTCCATCTCTTCCGATGGGGGTAGTCTGGCATCTCTGTTCGGGCTAATTCATCCTTGAGTGTCTCTGATAACCCCAATCTGAATTGATTTTTTAGGGTAACAGCATTCCATTCTGAGAGGGGCTCTGTCCGGCCCAATAAGAGGAAGAGGTTCGGTGCTGGGATACAGGAACTTGCCTGGCGTCTTCACACTTGCTCGAACGTCAGGCAAGTGTAACGGTCAGCCTTAACTAGGGAGTGGGGGAGGAGTCCTGGAACGAGGAACAGGTGAGTGATCGAGTGCACCTGTTACACTATGGCCTTATCACCCTGAAAGTGTCTCCTACCCACAGAAGTACCTGTCATCTCCCAAATATGTATTCCATCCGTGTGCTCAGCTCTTTGCCTGGAGGTCGTCCATAACAGATAAATGGTGACCCGCCCCTAATGAGTGAAGCAGATGGGAGTTCCCGGGAATTCGGAAGCAGAGACCACAACCCCAAGAGGTAGTATGTGTCCACGGTGTGATTCAGCTCTCCGGCATCTAACGCTTTGTACGGGATGACCAGTTCATTAAGATTTGTTGCAGCTGGAGAACAATGCTATTGTCATAATGTTATATGTTTGTGCTGCTTGTTGTATGTTTTGGATCATTGCACCAACCCCAGTAGGAGAACCTCGGAAAGAAACCATTGTTTAGTTTTAGAGAAAGGTTAGAACAGGGGTCAGCAACCGGGAAAACAAGCCGTTAAACAATAGGATGCAGCAGACTTCAGATCAGACCCAATTCCTGCACCTTCCACCCCTCAGATCAGACCCAATTCCTGCACCTCCACCCCTCAGATCACCCCAATTCCTGCACCTTCACACCTCAGATCAGACCCAATTCCTCTCACCTTCACACCTCAGATCAGACCCAATTCCTGCACCTCCACCCCTCAAGATCAGACCCAATTTCTGCACCTTCACCCCTCAGATCATCCCCAATTCCTGCACCTCCACCCCTCAAGATCAGACCCAATTCCTGCACCTTCACCCCTCAGATCATCCCCAATTCCTGCACCTCCACCCCTTAGATCCGACCCATTTCCTGCACCTTCACACCTCAGATCAGACCCAATTTCTGCACCTTCACCTTTCAGATCACCCCAATTCCTGCACCTTCACCCCTCAGATCAGCCCCAATTGCTGCACCTTCACCCCTCAGATCAGCCCCCAATTCCTGCACCTTCACCCCTCAGATCATCCCCAATTCCTGCACCTTCACCTTTCAGATCAGACCCAATTCCTGCACCTCCACCCCTCAGATCAGACCCAATTCTTTCACCTTCACACCTCAGATCACCCCAATTCCTGCCCCTTCACCCCTCAGATCACGCCCAATTGCCCCTTCTCCCCTCAGATCACCCCCAATTCCTGCACCTTCACCCCTCAGATCAGCCCCAATTGCTGCACCTTCATCACACTTCAGATTAACCCCAATTTTCTAATTAGCTTACGAGTACTCTCTTTTCCGTTCCTCCTACACTGGGAACAATTTCCTCATGGGCAGTAGGTATGAGTGAATCTACCTGAGTTTGGTTCACAAACATTTCTGTGAATCTTACTCAAAGTTTGAGAGCTTTGTGGCAAACTCCATTAAAGTCTATGGGGGCAAATCTCGTTTAATTTGGCTCTTTATAGGGCTATTAAGCAAGCTTTTGTCAAACAACAACCCGGACCTCATCCCGAGTGGGCACATCTACAGCATGCCTCCAACTGGCTGCCAGTGGCTGTAGAGCCCGGCGGGCACAGACAACAAATTATCCCGAGTGTCTGGTTTAAGGGCTAATTACCATATCAGAAGCGCTCCCGGATTCAGAACTCTTAATACTTTCAATGTGGAGATGTAGGCGGCTCTGCCTTTGAACATTTTTTTATTACATGGTAAAAACGCAATTACTGAAGCTTAGCAGTCCAGCGAGTCCCAGCCGTTGAAGGGAAGCTTTGATCTGCGTCTATGAGTGATGTATGACTTTCAGCTGGGAGATCCTTATCTGCTCTGTGATGTCATGTAGTATGTTCGGCAGAGAATCCATTTTCATCTCGCTTTCTTCCCCTCCAGCAACGTTACCGTTCACTGCGTGTCAAAACATGACAACTTGGATTCCTCAGCTTCCCTTCTATGAATGACATCCCTCCTTCTCACTCTCTCTCTCTCTCTGCTTCTCTCACAGGGTCCTCCAGGAAGACCTGGACTCAATGGTGCCGATGGTATACCTGGACCTCCGGGGAATACAGTGATGCTTCCTGTGAGTACCTGTCACAACTTGTGGGATTTTGGGGAGCCGGACACTAGGATTACGGAGAGAACTCTAGTTACATAGTATATGAGGTTGAATAAAGACACATGTCCATCGAGTCCAACCTATAGCGTGTATGGTCCTACTGATGTGTGCGTATGTATAGGTCCCTGTTTGATCTCATTCTTAGGAGTACTTGTACCCTTGTATATTACCTGTACCCCTGTATATTACCTGTACCCCTGTATATTACCTGTACCCCTGTATATTACGGTCTCTGAGGAAATCGTCCAATCGCCTCTTGAATGATTCCACACTCTCAGCCGAAATCACAGCACATGGCAGCGAGTTCCAGACCCTGACCGATCTAACTGAGAAGAAACCCCTTCGCCCCTTGTGCTAAAAAATGTTCTCCACTAATTTTAGGTGGTGGCCTCTCGTCCTTGTCATGGAGTTAATTGTAAAAAGTTTGCTGTCACTTTAATGTCACTATCCCTGGTAAACATTTTGTACATGAAAATCACGTCCCCCCTTAATCTCCTTACTTCTAATAAGAACATATTTAAATTTAGTAGCCTGTTCTCATAGCTCAGGTCCTCCATCCCCTTTACGAGTTTGGTCGCCCTCCTCTGGACTCTTTCCAGTTCAAGGACATCCTTTCTGTGGACCGGTGCCCAAAACTGGACGGCATACTCCAGATGAGGCCGAACCAGTGATCTATAAAGTGGCAACTGTGTGAGATTAACATGACTTGTCTCCCCGTGAACCCATGGCTCATCCTGTTGAGTTGTCCATGGTGATGTTTCGGGGGGACCCCAAGTCTGGACATTTAAAAGAGATCAGTGGAACATCTAAATTGATTAATGAGCTTATTATTGTGTCATGCCAAGTTCATAACTATAACGCTATTTCATTGTTTGGAGTGTAGGAGGAGCTTCATATTCTGTATCATTAATATTAATAAGTAGTGACTAGGAACACATTGGAGATATTGGAGATAAAAGTAGTAGAAGTGGAAGTGGTAATTGTAGCAGTATAAGCCGTGGCAAATATTGATCATAAAAATAATTTAATGTCATGATCAGGGCCGGATTTACTTTCTCTGCTGCCCCAAGGCCAGGTTCCTCAAAGCGCTCCCTACCTGCCAACCCCCAACCCCCTCCCCGTGAGCTGATGGGGCCTGAAATTAGAAGGTCATGTCCCATTCCAAAGCACACTCTCCTGCTGGAAGTGCTTCCCTCTGGGTATGACTATAGTGAATGGCACCGTTCCCCTTTATCTTTCTGTGCCACCCACACACATATTATCCCACCCCACACCTGTATTTAAGACACTCTGCACCCTTGTGAGCTTGGACTGACTTATCAAAGCGGGAACTGTTTGGCTTTCTGAAGGCTTAATACCCAAATAACACAGAACAGCCTTTCTCAATCTTTTCACAATGAAGGAGCCCTTGAAATAATGTCCCAGGGATCTCAGGGTCCTTGCTAAAAATGTTTACATCTTCAGCTCATGGTATATTGCCATGATGGGCTGGTTGCAGTTATAATTATCAATTTAATAATGAAGAATATTATAGTCAGTGGGGACAAGTCCCCTTATATTGGTGGTCAGAGAAGAAGGGCCCTTTTACATTGGTGGCCATTGGGAAAAGGACCCCCTTACATTGATGGTCATTGGGAGAAGGACCCCCTTATATTGGTGGTCATTGGGAGAAGGACCCCCTTACATTAATGGTCATTGGGAGAAGGACCCCCTTACATTGATGGTCATTCGGAGAAGGACCCCCTTATATTGGTGGTCATTGGGAGAAGGACCCCCTTATATTGGTGGCCATTGGGAAAAGGACCCCCTTATATTGGTGGTCATTGGGAGAAGGACCCCCTTATATTGGTGGTCATTGGGAGAAGGACCCCCTTATATTGGTGGTCATTGGGAAAAGAACACCCTTACATTGATGGTCATTGGTAGAAGGACCCCCTTATATTGGTGGTCATTGGGAGAAGGACCCCCTTACATTAATGGTCATTGGAAGAAGGACCCCCTTATATTGGTGGTCATTGGGAGAAGGACCCCCTTATATTGGTGGTCATTGGGAAAAGAACAGCCTTACATTGATGGTCATTGGGAGAAGGACCCCCTTATATTGGTGGTCATTGGGAGAAGGACCCCCTTACATTAATGGTCATTGGAAATGTATGGTCATTGAGAGAAGGACCCCCTTTTATTGGTGGTCATTGGGAGAAGGACCCCCTTACATTGATGGTCATTGGGAGAAGGACCCCCTTATATTGGTGGTCATTGGGAAAAGAACAGCCTTACATTGATGGTCATTGGGAGAAGGACCCCCTTATATTGGTGGTCATTGGGAGAAGGACCCCCTTACATTAATGGTCATTGGAAGAAGGACCCCCTTATATTGGTGGTCATTGGGAGAAGGACCCCCTTATATTGGTGGCCATTGGGAAAAGGACCCCCTTATATTGGTGGTCATTGGGAGAAGGACCCCCTTATATTGGTGGTCATTGGGAGAAGGACCCCCTTATATTGGTGGTCATTGGGAGAAGGATCCCCTTATATTGGTGGTCAGTGGGAGAAGGACCCCCTTATATTGGTAGTCAGTGGGAGAAGGACCCCCTTAGATTGGTGGTCAGTGGGAGGCAAGCCCTCTTGATAGATGGTTACTGTAATGCCCCCTTGCATTTGATGGTCAGTGGAAAAACGCAAAGACAGACAATGAAAATGATAATTGGTCAGCCAGGGGCCACATACCACAGAGATATGAGGAGAGGCTCTCTATGTCTGATGAGTAACATTGGTGCATTACCTATGCAGGAGCCATTAGGCGGGAGATCAGAGGGGTTTTTGCTTAGAAGCGCGTACCAGCTTCTGGGGGAACCCTGGTTAGGAAAGGTTGGGTTAGAGATTGATACAATGTGATTATGTAAAATAATATTTGACAATTCTTTCCTGCACAGTTCCAGTATGGTGGCGATTCCAGGGGACAGACTGTGTCGTTTCAGGAAGCTCAGGCACAATCCATCTTGCAGCAGGCTAAGGTGCAGTATTATTTGGATCTACATAGATAGCGCACACTTACATTTGTCCAATAAACCAAATGAGCACATTTCGGGCATTCAGGAAACTGGGAGACTTAGTAAGGTAGCAGGAATTGTATTCACTCGCTTCCAGGAACTCGCTATGATTGGACAACTCCAGACGAGGCCCATTAAATCACCTTGGGGGTTGGGTACAGCGTTGTGGGTGGTCGTAGGTCCCATTTTCTGTAAATGGACCAAGGACAGATCCGGTGGGGATAGGCCTGGTGGATAGTATACAGCTGGATTAACCAGTTATTGATCCCTGGTGACACATACATATGAGAAGTAGTTACAATGTGTCAACCACACACCAAGTTCACATGTCCAAGATCATTTTTATTGACGTGTGTACATCTCATCATCAAGAAGCAATGTTTCGGTCCCTTCATCAGGCATAGCGTATGAAGGTATAGTGTACTATGCCTGATGAAGGGACCCTAAGTGGCCCTCGAAAAGTTGCTTCTTTATGACAAGATGCATGCATGTCAATAAAGACGATCTTGGACATCTGACCTTGGATGGTGGTCATTGGGAGAAGGACCCCCTTATATTGGTGGCCATTGGGAAAAGGACCCCCTTATATTGGTGGTCATTGGGAGAAGGACCCCCTTATATTGGTGGTCATTGGGAGAAGGATCCCCTTATATTGGTGGTCAGTGGGAGAAGGACCCCCTTATATTGGTAGTCAGTGGGAGAAGGACCCCCTTAGATTGGTGGTCAGTGGGAGGCAAGCCCTCTTGATAGATGGTTACTGTAATGCCCCCTTGCATTTGATGGTCAGTGGAAAAACGCAAAGACAGACAATGAAAATGATAATTGGTCAGCCAGGGGCCACATACCACAGAGATATGAGGAGAGGCTCTCTATGTCTGATGAGTAACATTGGTGCATTACCTATGCAGGAGCCATTAGGCGGGAGATCAGAGGGGTTTTTGCTTAGAAGCGCGTACCAGCTTCTGGGGGAACCCTGGTTAGGAAAGGTTGGGTTAGAGATTGATACAATGTGATTATGTAAAATAATATTTGACAATTCTTTCCTGCACAGTTCCAGTATGGTGGCGATTCCAGGGGACAGACTGTGTCGTTTCAGGAAGCTCAGGCACAATCCATCTTGCAGCAGGCTAAGGTGCAGTATTATTTGGATCTACATAGATAGCGCACACTTACATTTGTCCAATAAACCAAATGAGCACATTTCGGGCATTCAGGAAACTGGGAGACTTAGTAAGGTAGCAGGAATTGTATTCACTCGCTTCCAGGAACTCGCTATGATTGGACAACTCCAGACGAGGCCCATTAAATCACCTTGGGGGTTGGGTACAGCGTTGTGGGTGGTCGTAGGTCCCATTTTCTGTAAATGGACCAAGGACAGATCCGGTGGGGATAGGCCTGGTGGATAGTATACAGCTGGATTAACCAGTTATTGATCCCTGGTGACACATACATATGAGAAGTAGTTACAATGTGTCAACCACACACCAAGTTCACATGTCCAAGATCATTTTTATTGACGTGTGTACATCTCATCATCAAGAAGCAATGTTTCGGTCCCTTCATCAGGCATAGCGTATGAAGGTATAGTGTACTATGCCTGATGAAGGGACCCTAAGTGGCCCTCGAAAAGTTGCTTCTTTATGACAAGATGCATGCATGTCAATAAAGACGATCTTGGACATCTGACCTTGGTGTGCTGGATGTGGACATAGAGCGCCATCCACAGTCACTCCAGCACTCATCCATTAGGGACGTACCGGTAAGGAGTGCAGTGGAATTTCTACAGAATACATTTGAGAAGAGCGCACGTCCTCCCGGTCTGTGTGTGACACGGTGGGCAGCTTCTGATATAAGGGGAGACCTTCCCAGCTTGGTATGTAATAAATGGGGGTATGGGGTGAGAAGCGACCCTTTCTTACTCTTCAGGTTCAACAATTGTCGTTGGCTGTGGGGCAAAGAGGAAAGGGCCAGATATCCGAGACTCCTTAATCCTACTCACAGCCAGTGGCGTCACAAGGGGGGTGCGGGGGGTGCGGCCCGCACCCGGGTGCCACCATTGGAGGGGGTGACACCAAAATGACTCACAGTCATTTTGGTGTC